CATGAACACTTTCAAATCAAGTACGCTGTTAGATTATACCATTTCTTTAGCATCTGTATAATAGCACACATTATATATTACTACTGGAATTTGTTAACTGGATTGCCACTAAAAATATAACTGCTCTACCAACACAATTCTTTCTAGTAGAGTGAAACAGACTGCGTGAAACATTTTTTAGTATTATTTCAGCATCCATAAAAGACAACTGTGGCTTATTAAGATAATTGGAGTGCTAGAAATTTGCTGTCAATTTGTTTAGGTGAATGCAGTTTGTTCCCGTGAACACTGGTAGGGCATACTCCGTACCCGTTCGCTGCCTCGGCAATATTACAACACAAAAAAGCTTAGTATTAGCGATGGGACAAAATCATGGCCATCATTCAAATACCACTTCAGTTTTTGTGAAATTAGTTTGCAGTACATAATTGCAAATGGTTTTGAAAGATAAGAAAATATGAGACTCGCTAAACAAAGTATTATTTTTTACATGGTAGAAGGCCAGTGAAGAAAATGAAGTTGTCTCCCCAACATTTTGGAACTCATTAACCCTAAACTTGACAGATTGTAAGGCACAGAAAGACAATTTACATCTAGCTTCAACTCCTCAATAACTGTAGCCCCAGAACTCTCTCCCATGACCCTCAATAATTCATCTTTTACTTAGACTCAGATTTTACTGCCTTCCAGAAAGGCTCCTGGAAACTTGGCCTTGAAGATGCCAAGAGATGGAGACTCCACCACTGTCTTCGATTGATCGATTACTCCAGCGTTCACATTCTCTGCTCTACTTTACTCTCCCTCTCCAGCTCCTCCTCTTTCCTACAGCAGGTGCCATCTTCACCCTACAGAGGTTCTCCTTCACTGTCACCAAGGGGCACCTCTAAATCTTCTTTCTATTAACTTCAGATGGCTTTCACGTCTCGCACCACAAATCACTTCCTCTACTTCCTGATGATTTCTGCAGCATTTCTGTTTTGCTTTCACCACATCGTTGGTTTAAAGTGTAGGGGAGGGGGGAAAGCAACATGGGAAATACTCCACTCATCAAGTCCTCTCCTGTCCACTGCTTCCTAGTCACACATCCCAGGAGAATCTAAACCAGCAATTTTTCCCCTCCCGATCACAGCAGGTGTTCACACTGACTTTGTTCACCATTTACCACTACGTGTTTTTTCAGAGCCCCTGCTCTTAAGGACAGAGTCTCCTGGGAGTAGAGCCACTTCCTACACTCTTTTGCTCTTGCACCTGTGAGCTAGAATTTTTTTTTTTCTGTATCAAAATGGAATCTGATTTGTTCCACCACATAAAGGAACCAAGATTGTCTGTTTCATACACAATGATCATACAGTTGCACAGATCTGCCAACTGAAGTATCTTCCAAAAATTGTACACATAGGGATCCAAAAACCCCATCTGGATGTCCTTTCTGAAATTAAAGTGTTCAGCAACTAGCTTGTTTTTCTTGGCTTTGTAAATGAAAAACATACCAGGCTGCTGACCACAAGGAAGCAGGGAGTAGTCGTGATTCATTTTGGACCTACCATCGTGGCCAGTCAATTCTGATTTACTGTAGAAGGGCCAATATGCTGACTCGCAGGGAATGCAACATTCTTCAAAAGTTACTAGGCAAGGAGAGAGATGGTTTAAAATTATCCTTCAAAAAAGACTCCCGGAAGCGTGCGCAATTTAATTTTTTTGTCAGGCAACTTGTTCTTCAGTAGGAAAAATTTTGTGATCTTGTTATAGGTGACTTCTTACTGCGCCATAAGCGGGACTAACTCTACGCACGTGCAAAAGTAGCCCCGAGCGGCAACGGACCCCAACCTCGCACCAGGCAACTCCGCACCCACAGGCCACATCCACTTCTTACCCTCACTACAGTAACACACACAGAACCCTCTACTCAGCAAAGGCATCAGGTACGAGTCACCAGTGAGACTTCTAGAGCAAAAAGTAGCCAAAACTAATGAGTATTAAAACAGTGACAAGATTTTTTTCTTGTATGTTAAAAAGTCATTTGATACAGCAGGCTGGAAACTAATGCTAATTTCCAAATAAATAAATTCACCGTTTAATAATACAGTTAATACAGACACCAATGAAACCAAGGGTTTGAGGGGTTTGGGGTTTTTTTTTGTTTTTTGTTTTTTTCGCAAGTTCTGAAGGCTAGAAGACAGTGTGCAGTATCACAAATGTTAACTTAAATTCTTCTTGCTACCAACTTCTACCAAAATTATGGTCAAATCAGATTTCAATCTATCACTTATATTCTGTTTTATTTATTGTCTAGTTTTTCTTCTTACAACTGGTCTTATTTCAAGAAAATTCTCTTTCAAAGTCATATGATAAAAATAGCTTATCATTTTTAACTAGAAACTCACACATTTAAGGAGGCAAAAACTTAAAAAAAAGTATAAAGTCAAAGGAGACTATTGGAGAATCTTTCCAGTCTGTTCAACACAAAAGGCACCTCCTGTAATTAAACATGGTTAACTTGCAATTTAAGGTTTAATAGGCAGAAACTTTGCCACAGATGCGAGATACAGCCTCACAGAACAGTGGGGACCAAAAACCTTCAAAAGGTTTTACCCAATATCTCCCATATTCAGACTGAGATACAGTCGGTGTCACGTAAGTGTTACTAAAATCCTTTCTTATTTCCTGGATTAAGGTGGAAAGTTTGTAACACAGAGAAGCAAATACATTTCAGCTGATTACTGCGCAGGAACTGCCATCGCTGCAGGCGCATCCCCTGAAGGTCAGGTCCATACTACAACTCATCCACCTTTCGTCAACGTTTTCCCAAAGGAAACCGACCCGGTGGCAGTCATTTGGTGTCACACATAGAGCCCTATCCATAGGTTATAATGTAGAAAAAGTTATCTGAATTATTTGTGGTATCTTTAATAGCCTCTAATTGCATATCCTCCTGAAATAGTGAATTCAGTGTCTGATGTTCCCATTACATTAGCACGTGTAGCATCCTCATCTCCTATTGAAGAGTTCTACTCACCAATGCTAAAGCACATATTTGAGCATTCCACTTCTGCCACCTCTGTTCCGAGATAACTGCACTTTCACTTGAGCACTGAAATTCTTTACAATCCTGCACTGATCACATAAAATTCCGGCCTCTCAGAAACACCATCTCTCACTGACTTAGCCCATAATCAAAACCAACATGAGCCTAAGACACACAAGCCTCAACCTCAAAAGGGTATACAAAGAACATTATTAAAATAGAATCTGAAACAATTTCTACAAACAACTGTCTTTGGGATCTATAAGGGTAAACATCAAAGTTCGTGCATCCCAAAGGCCACAGGAGCTCCACAGTGAGTAGAACAGAGGTTTAGAAAGAATGTGAAATTAAACAAGGTTGTTTGCCACCATAAGGAGATTATGAATCTCTGTTCCTGTATTGCTACGGATCAGAAAAGAAGTCTTGTCTTGGACAGAAGGACCACCATTCTTTGAGCTATTCAAAGCAGGATCCCCAGAGGGATGCTTCCAGAATGTAGCTAACAGATGATAAATCTTAATGTATATATAGTTCACGTCTACAGGAGTAAGTGCCAATTTCTCAGTATTTTTGATCCAAAGTGGTTTTTTATATTTAAAGTGTATTATGCAACATTAGGTTTTGGATGAAGATGACATAGCTAAGAATTTCTTCAACATGCCAGCTTTAGTACACCAATATAGCTATATTTACGTAAGAAACAAAGTGCTCTGTCCTCTATTTTACCACTTCTGAAAAAAATTATCATTACTTAAACTATGTCTCTGTAAGATACATTATTTTTTAAATTCCCTCCTTCCACTCATCCTGTATGGTTGATTCTCTGATACAAGCTGCAGGTAAAACTATACTACTATTGACAAGAGAGAAGTCAACGCATAATTTCAACCTGATCATCATCCAAGAGGGGTGAGGTTACGATTACTAATTATTGCTTGCCTCTTACTCTTCCTACTTTGCTGATACCACAAGAATGAATTGTTACCGGTTGATCACAGGGACATCCTTTCACCAACAGACTGCATTTTAAGATAGGAGTAAGTACTCCTTGAAAATACCCGGTCCTATTAATGCTCATTACCTAATTATAGAGTGCACGGATAGAATGATTTCAAGCTGTATTCACGATCACTGGGGGTACTTTCAACAGAACTGTACTTACTTAAAATACATACAAGTTTTCAAATATAATTTGATAAACGCCACAGGAATAATTAATATTTTAAAATATCATCTAAATCATGTTCATCAAAACAATAATTAATTCACATTCAGACTGTAACTGAAGAAGTTTCCTGTATGTATGTCTTACAAGACTACACTTCAGCGCAACTGAGGAAGCAGTTCTGTGCCCTGGTACAGAAAGATATTAAGACATCCATTCTGCGTATTATTAGTAATTTCTGGGGTAATACACAAAGTAGCAATAACATATAAATTGTTTTACTTCCTTTCACTGTTACTGCATCCCAGCGCTAGAATATTCTGTAAGAACAATCTCTATTTATAACCATTTCTTGCTCCAACAATGGATCTGGTGATCCATTATCACCTTCTAAGCACAAAAATTATTGTTGCACATCAAAGGGGTAAAAGTGGAAGAAAAAAAAAAGTTAGTGGATGACGCACTGAAGACAAAACTAAAATGGCATTATGTTTGCCAACACAGGCACCACCACGTGCCAGTAAATGGGACAGCGGTAGATAAGTAAGATGTGCTGAGGACAGAGAGCCTTCTCGTAAAAAGTCAAGTATCACTGCCTGCAATTACAGAGAGAAATTAAACTGGAAAATAAAGGGGAGGTCAAAAAAAGGAAGTGCTAATGAACTCAGATAAATCTGACTAACAAACAAACCCTTTTTAAAAGAAAGGAATTAACGTATCGAACCAACTTAACCAAATTAGTATAGAACAAAAGGACAGCTACTGAAGACAGATGAGAAATCTGGTCCACTTTGACCAGCTTCCTATGTATCAGTGGTCAGATGCAGACACCTAAGGAAGAATATAAGATAAAGGCAAACACACAGTGAGACTCCCAAAACCACACAAAGATCTATCCCCATTTTAGATATCAATAGGCCTCACATTTTCTTCATTATTTAGACCAATATTAATGATACAGGTGAATAATTCAAATGTCAGGCTTTAAAAGCACAGTGCTACGCCACTGACGTGGAACATGGTAACTCGCAGCTCCTGCATCAGTCCTTCCTCTAGGTTTTCAAAACGTAACAGTTTGGGGCTCTGTTTTTCAACCATTCGAATACTGCCGTTAACTTGGTTATCTCAGCTGTGGTCAAAAAAAGGCAAGTAAATGCTTGTAGAGTCAAATGATTGCTAATGTAGTAACAAACATGCAAGTCTCATTTCCACACTTTTCAGCTGGCTAATTACAAATAATACATCATTTTGGTTAACACAGACATCTAAAATCTGTCTAACCACCTGGCCACCCATATTTCTTTTTTTTTTTTTTTTTAAGTATTTTTTTTCTCCCCCTGTGTAAACCACAGAAAAATTACAAGCCAATGTTTTCCGGCTTACTGAACACAAAGACAGTTACAGAAGGTTTTGATTGCTTTGGGTCACCTGGGATTTAAATCCTATTACAGTCAGGTTCAAAAAGATGTGACAGAGGTATTTCAGTTTACATCAAGAGACACTTACAATGAGCTCCGAATCACGTCCCATGGAAATGACTGTTCTGTTTACTGTCCTCAATAGCTTTTCCATGATTATCTGGACATGTCGTTGCGTTGGCCCCTAGGGAAAAAGAATAAATTAGTGGTAACTAGATACAACAGACACCAATACAATTGAACTATTTATGTTTGCCTTTAGATCCGCCTGTCTTGTGAAAGTTAAATAAAACATCACTCACTGCTGTTGATCAAAAGCAGAAAATTATTCTCCCATTTCAACAAACACCAAGCAAAGTCTATTTTCGTAATACATGTTACTGATAAATTAGCATGTTCTGTTATGATTATTTAAATGAAAAGCAAGTCCCTGGAAACACAGCAAAGCCTAGGACATTTAGTTACCTAATAATTTCATTTTCTTAAGTCATTTTTCCAACATCAAAAGCCCACAGGCATTACCAAATCTGAGGGGCTATTTTGCAACAGCTCAATTAAAGAAACAGAAAAGCAAAGCAAAACTTTGGTTAAGGAACCTTAATTTCAGTCAATTGTGCAACTGGCTTTTAAGAACAAGTTCAGAAACCTCATGCAGAATGATGCCTGCAGGAACTGAAGCCAGAAATACACGACAAGGAGAAAGAAACAGATGAGCTTTGCTCCTATCTTTTACTTTATAAACAGGCTTCTTCGTGGTTTTTATTAGTCTGAAGGAGAAAATTTCAAAAGCGGTCTCTGAGATGAAAAGGGGAAACGATTCTATAGCCAACGTTTGTAAGCATTTTCCCAGATAATTTTCCAAAAAAACCCAGCACCTTTGGGTTGCTTCATTCCAATGAAGCATTTTCTTTCTTGCCCTTGGATCCGTATGATAACCCACATCTTATCATTGGATTATAATTACCGAAGGCAGACTTGCCTATATGAAAAATGCATTTGCATATTTGAAGAACGAGCCATCATCAGTACAAACACACACAGCTACTGCTCAAGTATAGACTCCTCTTCCTGCTGCTGACAGACCTGTCTTTGGGATAAACCTTACAGTTCTGGCACCACGAGCATCTGCAGGGAAAAGTGCATCTATCTCAGCACCCTGCTCCTCCCCGCGCTCCAGCTCTCCCTGCTTTCTCTCCTATGAGCTCTTCCTTCCTCTTTGCACTCCCAGCACTTGCACTGCTGCTGACCAGTTTCAATTTTACTTTACGTCGCTCCTCACTCTCAGTGTTCCCTTCCTTTCCCCATTCCCTTCTCCATCCCCCTGCTCCAACAACAAATGGGGATGTATTTTCGGCAGCCCCCTCGGTGCCGGCCGCTAACCACCCGCAGGGGCGCAGGGCAGCTCTCGGCTCTGCTCCTGCCTCTCCTGCAGCCCCGCTCCAGTCGGGCTCAGCCCAGGAGGTGGTGGAGCTGCAAGTGAGTTGCTACCAGGGAGAGGAATGCAGCCAACAAAGAGTGACAGGAAAGAGCCAAGATGTCAAAACTAAATTTCTTTTATAAAATAACCCACTCTCTGAAACAGTCACACAGAACTACTTTAAAAAAGAAACAAAATCAGAACGAACCCAAAAAAACCATCGTCAAATAAGACGCTAGATACAATGTGAGTAGCTGATCCTTAAGGTCCTTTCCAACTAAATCAGTGTACAATTCAACACAGGACTGAAGGTTCAGGCAGCAGCCTCATCAGCCCAAACTTCTTCAAGAGAGCATCAAATCATTAAAGCTCTCTGGCAAAACACTAATATTTGTGTGAAGTCAAGAAAAGACAAAAAAGGGATTGTCATGCAAACTCCACATCTGCATGCCAGCCCAAGGCACTGCACAGGTTCTCATGCGCAACCGTCTCATACATTTACTTTCTGAATGGGTAAGACAGCAAAAATAGTGCACTTCAAAAAGCTGACACAGCAAACTTGTTTAATATACTTGTTTAATATAACAGGAGTTACCTGTTTAATTCATTCTACTAAGTCCATTTAAGTGCTAATCATCACAGAACTGTAAGATACTAACCACATCTTTCTTGTAAAGCACTTCCAGGATGTTACTCAGCAACTGGCAACAAGCCTCCAAATCTTCTTGTCTTTCCAAATGATACTTCAGCTGATCTGTCATTGTTGGCAGCAAGATTTCCCTGCAGTCTGCACACAAAACATAAGGTTACATATGCAGCTTTAAATAACTTCATAGCCAATCTGCTTCAGTGCTTACATAAGATTAAAAAATCAGGAAAAAGAATATAACTTCCAGATTTCTAGTCACCTGCTTTTCAACTCAAACCATAAAAACCTGAAAAAGTTATGAGCAAACGAAAGTGAAGTCATTAGGTTAAGAACGCTTGGACAAGCACTACCCACCCACCCCAGGCTAAGTACCTGCGTAGTCTCGCTGATGCTAACTGCCTGTGCTTGAAAACATTGATTACCTGGACCTGCCCAGTGCCACCACACAGCATTACACAAAGCATTACGTACACGCCTAGCATCACACTTACTCGACCGGCTGAGTGTTGGCCAGGTATATTAAGCTTCCTTTACCTTACCTGCACTGGCTCCCAACGCAGCATCGCCTAAGTGTACAAACAGGATTCACTGAGATGTACGGAGAGAGGCAGAGCGGGGTACACCTGCCTTCTGCACGGTGGCATCCAAAGCAGGGAACAACAACAAAAAGCCTTCAGCTTCCCCCGTTCCCAGCCCCCAAACAAATCCATGCCCAAAGGAGGGGAACTGGTTATTCTCGCTCATTAGAGCCCGACTTACGTAGGAAACAATAACGGCGACTAAATTACACAGTGTATGTACCATCAGCTTAGTACTAAAACATGTGGGGCGTAAGGGAAAGGACAGCAGGAAGGGGCAAGGAGGAATTAAGGGCATTTTAGTATTCTTCCACCTCCTCTAAATAATATTGTAGAAGAAGAACAGGACAAACATGGGACTTTCCCAGCTATGTTACCTGACTAGACACCAGTTCCCAAGTCCCTTTCCCTCCTGATCTGCCCAACTACCTGTACGTATGGAAGAAGGTGTGAGCTCTTCTTTGCCCAAAGGAAGGAGCACTATGTCTCTATGCTAAAAGGGCTGGATCACCAAGCTGGCAGGCAGCTTTTTCTCAGGAAAGTCATATGCATAAAGACAGACAGAAAGCAGCACAGCTCTGCATGTATATATAGGTGAGCCAAGTATCTTGAAAAACAATAGTTACCGCAAAGAAATGTTTATTTTCCTGACAGATGGTCACACACTATTACAATGTGGGTCACTCCAAAAAATTGTCTTTGTACTATAGAATCTACCTGGCAGATGATCTCTGAAAACACGACTGAAGAATTCACTTTGTCAAATGCTACATTGGCTGCCGGCCCATGAGATCTCTAATTATACAGTACCTGGGAAAATATGGATGAAGCTCTTGACAGCCACACAAAAGATGTAACACACTTGACATGTTTTTTTAGTGATATTGCCCAAATTGCTTGGATTTGATGGCATATGGATGACTCACAAGAGGAGGCTTCATGGCAGTCCTTAATGACTATATCATTGCTCAGAGATTATTTCACACAAAAGCTGAAGTCCCTGGAACATTCAGAAATGCTCGTGAGCACTCAATTAAGTCTTTATTTAAGAGAATTCTAAATAGTTCTGGACCAGTAAGCATCACCAGCCCAACATCAAGAGTGAGAATAACATACAGACCACAACAGAAAGCACAAGACTAAAAAAAATGAAAACTGGAGATTAATCTCAGTTAAGAGGGGATGACCCCAAAATGCAATGTGAAAGCACTTATTTAGGGTAACGTAACGCGTTCCTGAAAAGCCAAGAGATCAATAGCTCACAGTAATGCTTTCAACGCTAGGAAGCCTCCTCTTGGTAGCATTTGAATCCTACACTCAACAGGAGAAGCTCCTTCTGCAACCAAACATGCCCTTTATCGACACACATTTGGTCTCTGTCCTTTCGCAGTGGACGTAACTGGCACCAAGCAGCAGTCAGGACTGGCAGGAGTTAGAGTGAGCAAGTTGGTGCTCAGAACCTACAGCAAATACCAGTAGCTCAAAAGATGATGAAGATCTGCATCACCAAAAGATGGTGACCCTGGCTTTGATTAATTCAGAATTAATTACCTTTACTGGCCTCAACTTTTGCTGAAGAGGGGTCCAGAGACAGAACACACACCTCCACCCTCGGCCAGTTCCTAGTGATGCCCGTCAGTATTTAGGAGATGCCGCAGGCCGGGTGCCGAGGCGTCAGTGCCGTAGAAGGTACCAGTGATCAGAGCACCCAATCGCACTGCATGGGCCCCACGCAGGTGCCAACTTCAAAATCCCTCCAGAGCGAAAACTGAGGCTCAGCTGACAGTCTGCCGGTGACACACATGGGACAGACAAGGCAGTATCGCCAGTGCTAAAATATGCACTGCGGGGACCAGAAAAAAATGACAGCTAGCAAGCAAAGAAGTGCCAAGGACAAAGAAATCGATACATGCTTATGGCATTGTGTTTGGTCTTGCAATGGAAAAATTGATACGGGCATTACAAACTCAGTGCCAAGGTGAAAACTACTCTCACTTGATGAGTCTCAGTGATAAGGGATGGGCCTAAGAGGACTTGCTTTTGCCACTAAAAAAAAAGAGAAGGAAACCGGATGGATGAGACAAAGATGGATTTCACAGGGACACAGTCTCTGCCCAAAGTCTGCCTGAAGCCTTCAGCCAGTGCTGCAAGGTCCAACTGCAACAACTTGAACTACTCTTTGTGGCTCCTTCAGGACTCCCAGGCCATCGGTGACCACAGCTTTCCGTCTCCGACGGAGCAGGAAAGTCACAGGAGGAGCAGCCCCACAAACTCGTCCCTACGGCAAGATACACTGCACAAAGGCTGGAATCCTGCTCTCACAAACTGCACAATGGGGAAAAATAAAGGTCACCGACATAAAAAATAATCAAGAAAAACTGTGCCATATTGCAGAATAGAGAGCATTCCACCTCAACAAGATGCTAGAGAGGAACTGAAACAGCAGCATCCTCATCCTGCCTTCTAAGCTCGCACATGGAGGATGAAAAAAAGCAGTGCATAAGCACACCCAACCTCTAGTAGTTCAAGAGAAATATTCTTCAGTCTCAAGTGACTCACATAAGTACATGTTCACTAGGAATGCACAAGTGGGCTCTCATTCAAAGAAAGTACTTTGAAGAGTTAGTTTCTTCAATGCAGAGTTTTTCTATTTAATTGCTTCTTGGTCATTTAACCTCCAGCTTTATAGCTCAAGAAGGAGAAAAACCATGGTGCATTTGTTGAAATTTTTGGTTCAAGAAACAGACATTAAACCCTGCAATGTATTTACACAGGGAAATACACCTAGCCATGACTTCATCACATCCTCTCATATTCATTTCCACTAGGTAGCAGAGAATTAGATTACAAAAGATCCAATACAAAAAAAGATCTGGTAATGGAGAAACCTCTTCATCATAAGTTCCCATTATTTGTTTACAATCATATTATCCTAAATCTATACAGATATTAAAAGTGAAAGGAGGTGGTGATCTCTGCAAAAAAAAAAAAAAAATGGATCAACAAAACTGACCTCACTGAAAGAGCTCATTTACCAGGATGCTCATTAAATGATCTAAAGCTATTTATACAAAAATGAAGTCTCCAAACTGCCCTAGTATGGTAGACAATGATGTATGTGCATTTAAAGTAATAGCTTGCTGTAACACATTTCAAATGCATAACCTTAGCTAAAAAAAAAAAACCCAAAACCAAAAAACCCAGAAATAAATCACAGCGCCCTTCTGAACAGAAGAAAGAAATTCTGAGTGAAGGTCCAGCCCTTACATAATAAAGAAGGTTTTCCTGGTACTGAATCGCCATGTATTTTGTATAATCACCATTTCACATTTGTTTTAAACTTCTGCCTCTGAACTGCTCCAGCCCTTGACCACTCACTCCTACCCCAAAAAACTTTCCCTCCCTGCTCAAGTACTAGACTGTTCTTACGTGACAGGAATCACTAGATGGATGCAGGTCAAAATTGACTACTAGTTTTCCATATAGATTTCAACCCCATGAATGTCCTACTAGTTCAGCTCAATCTGTTTGCCCCAGAGATGCTTTGTGATTGCAGCCTTGTGCCTCCACATTTGTGAAACCTCAGCATACGTCGTTACATTAGGTTTTGACTAACTCGGAAAGAAAAGAGCAGATTAAGAAAAAACCCACAAAACAGTGGTGTAGCACACTCCTTTCGCCAAACGCAGGGGAGAGAAAGAACCCTGACGCCCAGTTGCTAAGCACTCCAGCAAAGGCATATGAACGTGCCTTTGTAAAGCCTGCGAGGTGAATCAATCTTTAATAACTTCAAAAGGTCCCTAATTAGAGGTCTGACAATGTTTCATGTCCCTGTTAAGCCCCACTAGTAGAGAACGGTCAAAGATCAATTTAATATCTGCAAGCATGCAAAAGGCGAGAATTGCAGCTAAGTCACCTTTGAGTTAGATTGTCTCTAATCAATAGGGAAGGTACTCAAGTTGAATTTCTGAGAAAGGAAAAACTAATTGATTTGTCATACTACTTCATTTGGAATTACACAACCTGTACAAAAGACTGAGTTCCCTGGGGTAGACTTGACAATACTCCTCAGTTACCACCTTACGGGCTCTCTGCCTTCCTCAACAACAACTTGTGAACATCTGCCGTTTGGTTTGTAGCTGTTGCAGGTTTTAGAACATGGAAGGTTGAACAAAAAAAAGGCATCAAGGTGTGCTAGGTACTTAATTAAAAGATCCAGATTCTTCCCAGACTTTTAAAAGTAAACTAACAAACAAACAAAGTCTATAAACCAACAACAACAAAAAACCCCACAGCCCAAAGAACTGTGCAAGCACCAACACTGTGAAATCTTTCTAAAGATTACTTGGCCCTCAAATCACCAATGGAACTTTTACGCTAGGAAAGAAATACCGATACAGAGCTTACTTTGAAGCAGGCAAAAAGGAATAAATATTGCCAATGGGAAAGACAAAAGCTATGTCTAAAATCAAAGGAGTACTTCAGGACACTCAGCACCTGACAGGTCATAAAACTATATTTACATACTGGGATGATTTTTACATATTTTTCCTTTCTCTT